GTACTGCAGCTGCCTGTTACTAGTGGAAAGAGGGGATTAGAACCTTCACATTGAGGACACTGACTTGGCCTTTCCTTGGCAGCATGCTTAACCTATGGCCTGTATGCCAGCAGTTCTCAACATGGGCTTTTTGTTCGGAGGGCTTTTTGATCCCTTGAAATCATTTGGGGTCTTGGTCTGCAGGAATCCCCAAGTAGTTACAAATGGAGATTGGGGTTTGGTGAGCCTGGCATTGGCTTCCTAGATGCTTCTGATTAGAGTGGTCCACATAACCTGAGAAACTGGTCTAGTGTTCGTTTTCTTGACCCACAAATTGAGTACCCTTATGTTTGGTGGTAGTGATTTACTAGGTAAGATATTTAGGAAGAAAAATGAGAAGACCCGATAATACTCTGATCTAGAGACCCTGTTGTCTAGGGGAGTTTGGTAAATGGGTGGAATCTGCCTGTGGAAACTTCTAGGCCCCCTCCCTGGCCTGAGGAACTTCCTGTTGCCGTTCTTGCCTCCAGTACCCAGCACTGGAAAGGTGGCTCTGGTGTGGCAGGAAATACCTGTGATTTAACGTTTGACTTTATTTTTTACAATATTTTATTTGGCTGTGCCGGGTCTTAGTTGCTGTGCGGTGGATCTTTAATTGTGGTGTGAACTCTTAGTTGTGGTATGAGGGATCTAGTTGCCTGACCAGGGATCCAAGCCGGGCCCCCTGCATTGGGAGTGTGCAGTCTTAGTCACTGGACCACCACGGAAGTCCCTAACCTTTGACTTTAATCTGCCTCATTTAACTTTGGTAAATAAAGGAACTAGAGCTGAAAGGCTAATCAAAGCATAAATAAAAATGCTGCACCTTCTCAAAACAAGCTTTATCTGTATTTGAACAGTGAAGAGCACAGGTATTCACCAAAAGATTTGTCATTTTAGCTTTCAAGTTATAACTGCAGGTAAAATAGCTAATCTTGTGATGAGCAGAGAATTTTGGTTCTCAAGGTGGTGATAGGCCTAACTTGCTCCTTAACCACAGTTAGGAGTGATAAAATACCTAGGCTTGTTGAACAATGTTCCCAATGGGTAAGGAGGGGCAAAAGCTGGCTGTGAAACTAGTTAGGATCCAATTTTACTGAAAGGAAAAACATTTATGCCTAGTTAAAAGTGATTGGACGCTTACATACTAATGTTGACCAATTCAAAGCTGGGAGTTATGTGATTTAGGGGATTTTCTGAAGTTTTATGATTTTTGTAATCAGAGATTACAAATAAGGCAGGAAAACTTGTGATTTGATGACTAGAGGAATATAATATAAAAAGTAATTGACAAGTATGGGTACATTCTTTTTTTTTTTTTTGCGGTATGCGGGCCTCTCACTGTTGTAGCCTCTCCTGTTGCGGAGCACAGGCTCTGGACACCCAGGCTCAGCTGCCGTGGCTCACGGGCCCAGCCGCTCCGTGGCATGTGGGATCTTCCCAGACCGGGGCACGAACCCGTGTCTCCTGCATCGGCAGGCGGATTCTCAACCACTGCGCCACCAGGGAAGCCCAAGTATGAGTACATTTTATACCCTGTCTTGTACAAAGCTGAGTACAGCAAGAGAAAATAAAAGACGTGAGAACCATTAGGTGAAGGGAAACAAGCAGGTCTCGCTTGCTAAGGTGGGCCCCAGTGCACCTTTGGTGGCCAACCCTGAGAGCCATAATGATCACAGGGCCTGTGAGATAAAAGCAAACCACTTCTAGAAGCCAGGAAGACGATTGTTTGCACCAACAGCTATGCTATCAATGAGCAGCGTCACGGTGGAGCAAGGGTTTCAGAGGAGGTTCCCATGACACTGTGCATACAATTTCTCGGGTGGAAGAAGACCAGCCAGGTGGTTGTCTGTGGGCTGAGGCCCCCCCAGTGCCCGAGTGAATCCCAGCTCTGCCACTCAGGAGCCGTGGGAGACTGCTGAGCCAGCCTCTTAACTTCCAGAAAACTCATCTGAAAGTGCAGCTGATGATGGTACCTACTAAAAGGATGACGTGCTTTGCACAGTGCCAGGCACTTAGTACTTGGTTAAACAGCAGTTGTAAAATGGCAGTTAGGTATAGTTGCATATACGTGTGTACCAGAGCGGGCACACAAGTCCCTGCTTGCCTGCCTTGGTTGGGTTTAGGACAGATTGAATGGAGGCCATCCCAAGGACATCTATCTCATTAATGGTGATGAGTGGGGAGAACAAGGTGCCTTCAGAATCAGTCACACCCTCCTGTTTGAAAAGAGCCAAGGATTGAAATCCTTAAAAATAATTTTGGAAACTATAGGAATGTTTTAGAAATAACTTGGGAACTTGAGTCTTACTGGATTATTGATTTGCATCACCTGAATTTAAAAATTAAACCCACTCCACTTGATAAATCTATGCCTTATGTATTGGGGTAGGAGTACTTAAAAACTAACTATATTAAACTAATATGACTCACCACCTTCTGCTGGCCTGCCCAGAAGCTGTTTAGAGCTGTGGTGCCTGCGCTCCAGAGGCCCGTGGCACCATGATAGAAACAAAAGGAAAAAGCAGGAGACAGAATGGGAAAGCAAAGCAAACAACGGAGAACACGTGTGGTGGCAGACTGATTCGATTCTAAATGAGGATTGAGCTATCTTAAACCCCAGCCTCTAGGATGATTTTAGGCTTTAGACTAAACCTTAGTGTGCATCTGAGTTAGAATTCAGGGTTCAGATATCTGGGGAGCTCCAGTTTTCCAGCATTTGTACTAGAAGGAAATAAAGAGCCCCCATGAAACCCCAGGACTGCTCAGGCTTTGACCGTGGAATTGGCAAAATGATGGCCCACCTCCATCTTCCCTAGGGACATCAGAAACAAGAGGGGCAGGAAAGAGAACTACCGGCCTCTTCTTTGGGCCCCTGCTTTCTGGGCCTTTTCTTACAGCTTTCCACAGAATCCTGGTCAGGGAGAGCCACTTCCAGGAGAGAGCCCTGGGCTTTGGGCTCACAAGACCCACCTTCTTATCCTGGTTCCTTCCCTATTTTGAGACCTCAAAACTATGTAGTTATCACCCGCCCCTGTGCCCCCTGTATCTGTTACATTCGTATATGGGGGTGGGGGGTGGCCAGTGAGGAGGCCAGCCATATTTCACCTACAGTATTCTAATAGAAATCACCTGCAGGCTGTTTATTCCAGGAGCATGAGGGCAACCCACGTGATGATGATTCAAGCACCCAACACATACAATCACCTATTAGTAGAGACTGGATTTTGCATCCAGCCCTAGGCATAGCACATGGTGGGTCTTTCATAAACCATTTCCATCTCCAGGAACCCCTCCCACTTGGTTGGGGCTCCAGGCACGCTCACCATCCTGCAAGCAACAGTCTTGGGTCCCTCCAGTGCAGTGGACCAAGACAAAAGGCCGCCTGATTATTTAATAGTATACCAAGTGCCTGGGCTTAATGTCAGAAGACCAGGTTCAAATCCTGGTGTTACCACTGACAGCTGAGTGAGAAGAGCATTTAACCTCTTCTGTTTCCCCATCTGCAAAATTGGTGGTTGGACCAGAACGATCTAGAAGACGAGATTCTAGAGTAGGGTTGCCAGATTCAGCAAATGAAAATACAGGATGCCCAGTTAAATTTGAATTTCTGATAAACAAGCCATGTCCACTGAGGACACTGAGGTTTTCCCAGGCAGACAGGGGTAGGTTGGAGTCCAGCTTCCCCCCCCCTGCCGCCCCACCCCCACCCTGGCTAGCAGCCATCCACTTCGGGAGCACTCACCTCCTTGAGGCTCTTTCCTCATGTGTGGAGTGAGAATGGGGCGGTGAGAACCAGTAGTAGCCACTGTGGACTGTGGGGATTTAACAGGGGGCCCATCTCAGTATTCAAGTCACCTGGGGCAAGTCACTTCACTTAAAGAGACAAGGCAACATAAGGCTCACTTCAGTGCTCAACTCACGGCAGGAGGGGTGGGAGAAAGGTTGGAGTTCGCCAAACTTTCACAAGACCCCTAAATCCTATTTTCTTTTTCTTTTTTTTGGCCGTGCTGCTCGGCTTACAGGATCTCAATTCCCCGACCAGGGATCCAACCCCGGCCCTCGGCAGTGAAAGCGTGCAGTCCTAACCACTGGACCACCAGGGAATTTCCAAATCCTATCTATTTTGAGTGTGGGTAGCGCTTGGGGCCCCCCAGCAGAGACGGAGTGGAGTGGGGTGACACACCAGGACCTGACCCACGAGCAGTGCCCACCTGAAGCTGTCCAAACCCAGAGGTATGGCACACAACTGGTCACACGACTAACCCACAAACAAATAAATTTAATTTTTTTTTTTTAAGCAGGAGCTGGGCCTTGAGGGCCCCTGCGCCAGCCTTGCGCCACATTTATGATATAACCCATCGCAGCTGGATTTAAAAAATACACAACAAATATATAATATACATTATAAAACCTAGGTTGGGTTTGGAGGTGGCCTGAGCGATATGCAAACTGTGAGGACCTTTAGGAAGCTCAGGGGCGGCCGGGCGGGGGGAGGGGCACAGTGCTTCATACGAAACTCTCATAAATACCCACGGGCAGTGGGAGGACGGGCTGGGGCCGAGCAGCCTGGGTATTGAGAAGGGGCTGCCGGGGAAGGGTTAACCTTCAGTCCCAGAACGGGGTGTGGGGAGCTGCTGCTCCAGGCCAGAGAGACTGAGGTGGGGAAAACAGAAGGGACAGGTGCCCCCCGAGGGTTCACCACCAGACGCAAGTCTTAGGCAAGAGAAAATGCCAAACTTCTCCGCTACCCCTTGTCCCTGGGCCAGTGGCCTGCCCAGGGGCTGGGGCTCCATCCTCCCACCTGACCCTCCAGCCTGCTTCAGGCCTGGGCCTGCCCCTGGAAGCCTTTGCCCATCGGGAGGCTGCTGGGTGGCTCGGGACCGGACCTGGGTCAGGCAGCTCTGAGGGCCGCACAGGAGTCCCCCGTGCTCTGGAAGGAGGTGGTCTGTTCAGGCCCCCAATCCAGCCGGCTGGCCCCTCAGTGCAGACCCTCCCTCCTGCCCCCGTGGCCAGCCCCCACTCCAGGGAGGTAGCATAAACCTGGGCTCTAGGGACAGGCGGCGCCAGAGGAGGACTCCAACTCCACCCACCCCTCCCACAGGTCCCTCCACTGAGATAGCGAGCCCCACGCTTGCCCTGCAGGGTCTGAGGATGGCACAAGGCACCTGGGGGCCTGCACGAGGCCTGGCACACAGCAGGTGCACAGAAAGTGTGGGCTCCTCTCTCTTCTCAACTTGACCCCAACTCAACACTCTCCTTCTGGGGCCTCTGCACTCCGGTTCCCTTGGTCTCCATTCTGCCCTCACCCGCCCGTCACAGTCCCGTGAGGGGCCAGCGGCCACGGGTGCCTGGGCTCGAAGGTGTCCTCCCAGTCTTTCGAGGCTGGGCAGAGCTGGGTACGGTGGCCAGCGTAACCGCCAGGCGGCCCCACCGCTGAGCTCTCCTCTCTTCTCCCTCAGTTAAAGCGCAGGACAGTGGCAGGGAGTGTGTGTGCAGGGTAGGTGGGGAGGCCTCCTGGGTCCTGGGCCTGAGGCCTGGCAGGTGGATGAGTCCTCAATCCTAGACCCCTAGGGGTGCCAGGCAGGTGTGTGGAGAAGATGCTTGTCCTGGATTGTGGTGCTGGGGGCGGAGGGCACCCTAGTCTTTGACGAGTTTGTAGACGTGGTGCTGGGCCCCGTGCTCGCTGGTGGAGACTTCAAAGACGAAAGCAATGACGAGCAAGGTCTCCTGGGAGTCCCGGCTCGTGACCACCTGGGGGCCGGGTAGGAAGATGCGGGAGGTCAGGTGGCACAGGGCCATGGGGTGTGCGGGCTGAGCAGAGCCTTCTCCTTTCTGGGGCTCGGTCTCCTCCTCTGAGGAATGGGTCTGGCCACCCCTGCTTCGAGGCCCCCGTGCCTGGGGTGCTCCCGTGACCCCCACGCCGCCCTCTCCCCCGCCGCCTCCACACCTGTAGGATGGTGAAGTTCTCCAGGACGCTGTTCATCATATACTTTTCGGGCAGGTGCTTGAGCTTGTGGATGAAGTTGATCATGTACTCGCACATGGGCGAGCGGTGGATGCGGTACACGAAGCGCCCATTCTCCAGCCTGGCGTACTCGGTCTGCGGGAGCCAGGGTCAGGCGTCGCTCGGCTGGCCCGCCCCCAGCCCCCCCTTGAACCTCCTTGCCCTGCGGACTCCTCCAAATCCACAAGAACCTTTTGAATCTTAGTGACTGTAAATCTCTATACCACACAGTATCTTTAAACCCTCAAAGTGACCTCTACACATCACTTTGGAACTCCGGATTAGCTCTAAGCCCGTGCATTAAAGAGGTTAGGACACCCCCCACCCACCATGCAGACCCCCAAAGGCCTGAGCTGTCGTGGCTCCCAGTCCATTTAGTCTGCACCCCCAAAGTGGCAGGTGGCTGGGCGCTCACCGGCCCAGAGCTCCACCCCTCCAGCCTCACCTCCACCTTCTCCACCACCTGCTTGCCAAAGGAGCACACCTTGGTGGAGACGCTGATGGTCATGCTGTCGCCCGAGCTGTACTGGGAGCTGACCCCGTAGAAGGCGCCCGGGCCCTCCTGGATGGTGCTGTTGAGGTCGGCCTGGAGGAGGGGGCGGGGCGGCCTAAGGTGCTGTCCGAGGCCCAGGGAGGCGTCCGCCCTGGGGCTGGGGGCACACATAGCCCGCACAGTGCCCACAGGCCCGGGGAGAGGGGGTCGGTAGGGTAGGCCTGGGTGCATCGCACATCTGGGGGGACCCGGGCAGCTCACCCAGAACTTGACGAGGAAGAAGGCGTTAGGGGGCCCCTTCTCATAGAGCTCCTTCAGGCCACCCTTCTTCTCGGGAAACTTGTCGTAGATCTGACGCACATCCACTGCCTCCAGGGGCGGGTCTGAGAAGGCGGGGTTCGTCTGGCCGATGTGCACAAACAGGTGTTTGCTGTACTGTGGGGAGGGCCCAGTACAGGGTCAGGAGAGCTCGAGAGAGTGCAGGCCCAGGGGGAGTGGGGGGCTGCAAGGGAACAGACCTGCCCTATGGCCTCCCAACCCCGTGACCCTGAGCTGTGGCCCTGGACTGCACAGACCCTGCCCCACCCCCTACATTACCGTGTCAGGGTCGCGCTGCACCTCCATGAAGGCGGAATATTCGAGGAGCCGCAGCCGGGAGGAGGCGATGGTGCGGTCCTGCCACACAGGCACAGAGGCAGCAGCTGAGGGGAGCGGGGCCAGGGGCTCATAACCTGGGAGGACGAGACGGACCCTCGTCTGCACGGGCAGGTGTGCGGCTACACACAGAGCCTGTGTGCGAGCTGGAGAATGGTACCCCTTTTGGACAGGAACACGGGCTGGATTTTGACTCCCCTGCCAGGCGTCCTTGTGCAGTGCACAGCCTGCAGCACCGTGTGTGGTGGCCCTAGTAATGTACATCAGTGGATTTTCCCTCATGTCACCATTAATGTGTGTCCAAGCAGAAAATATAGACAAGTGAAAAACGTAAAAATAAAAATTACCCAGAATCCTAACTCCTAACGAAAGTAAAACTCTGAAGATTTCGGTGTATTTCCCTCGAAGGAATTATATATACATACACATATCAATGTGACACCTTTGGTGGTGTGTACTTGTAGCAGAGTTGTGGAAGCAACATTGTAAAAGGTAAGGGGGCTATTCCTGGCCTGTCCCAATCCCCTACAGATGCCAGCCACTCCTCCCTCCCAGCCCACGCGCATGTACACACGCGTGCGCGCGCACACACATACAAGTCTGGCCCCAGCTCTTCTGAGCAGAGGTGCAGCTGCTGAGGGAGGGAGAGGTGGTGGCTGCCTTGTGCAGGGAACTTACTGCTGAGCGTCGGCGGCAGGGGTGGCTGGACGGGGTAGGCTGGCTGTGCAAAGGGCTTGATGCTGCAGACAGGAGCATGGGCTGGTTAGAGGGTCACCCCTTCCCCACTTTCCGCCTGGCCCAGTCACCTGGGTCTCATCTGGGATCCCACATAGGAAGCCACCAGGCCTTCCTGTGGAGGCCCAGAAATACATGCTGACCAGCTAACTCGCAAGCTTTTTGTTTTCTTCACGTTTTAACTTCATGAAGTCTGGCTGCATCTCACAACTGATGTGCATATTTAATGCAGCATTTCAAACCCACCCTGCAGAGCTGTTCATTAAACTGAGGGCGTGTCTTAGGAAGAAAGTCATCTTAGAGTTGAAGAAGCTGAGAATACTTGACTACCTGACCTGTTGAATGAAAGACTGACTCAGAGATTAACTGAGTGAAAAATAATTGTAAGATGGATGACAAGTGGTTGATGAATGAACAAACACATGAATGAACAGAAAGATGCATTAGCTCTCTTAACTGGTGCTCTCCAACCCCCTATTTCTGAACGAAGACTTTGCTCAGCTGCTGCTGGAACCCAGGTGGGAGGGGAAGTCCAGAGTGGCTGCCAGGGGAAAGAAGAGGGTGTGGGAAGGAAATGCCACCATACTCACTCCTGAGAGGGTCCAGGCTGCTGTCCCAGGAGAGGGGGGCTGCTCCAGAACTGCAGAGATGGGAAGAAGCCCAGGGTCCCTCAGTATCCAGGACCCCAACCCCGGCCCACCCTAAAGGCACTCCCTCACCCCAGTCCCACTTCCCAGGACCCCTGTACCCGAGAGGAAGTAGAGAAGACAGCCTGGGGCAGAGGGGAGGGTGGGCTGAATTTGTTCTGTAGGACGCTGGCTGAGACAATCTGGGCAGAGGACATGGACGCCATGCTCTGGAGGGCTTTGTCCTTGGAGACCTGGTCCTGAGGAGGGGAGAAGCCTTGTGAGGCCCAGGCCAGGCCAGAGACAAGACAGGGGCTTGCCTCAGGGGCCTCCCCCCAGGCCGTGTCTCCTAAGTGTACATCACCCCTCTGATCACAATCCACAATAAGAAATTATTTTACTCCATAACCCAGTATAAGCCAAAACAGTTCTCCTTATTTTGCTTATTTTGTGTGTCACGCACTCTCATATTTTCTGTTTCATCAGTGGTTCTCAAAAGTATGGGCCATGGACCAGCAGCACCAGCATCACCTGGAAGCTTGTTAGAAATCAAATTCTCAGGCCCTAGCCCAGACCTACTGAATCTGAAACTGAGGGTGAGGCCGAGAAATCCAACTTCATAAGCCCTCCAGGTGATTCTGATGCATGCGAAAGTTTGAGAACCACTATAATCCATTTTTTAAAAGATTTATCATTTATTTGTTGATTTATTTTTGGCCGCGTCAGGTCTTTAGTTGCGGCACACAGGCTTCTCTCTAGTTGTGGCGCGCGGGTTTTCTCTTCTTTAGTTGTGGTGCATGGGCTCCAGAGCATGTGTGCTCTGTAGTTGTGATGTGCGGGCTCCAGAGCGTGCGGGCTCTGTAATTTGTGGCAACGGGCTCTCTAGTTGAGGCATGCGAGCTCAGTAGTTGTGGCGCGTAGGCTTAGGTGCCCCGCGGCATGTGGGATCTTAGTTCCCTGACCATGGATCGAACCCACGTCCCCTGCATTGTAAGGCAGATTCTTTACCACTGGACCACCAGGGAAGTCCCTATAATGCATTTTTAAAAAAATGCTGTTTGCAAGCCTATTACATTGATTTCACAATCCATAATTTGAAAATCCTATATTAGGTGCTCTCCCCTCCATTGCCCCCCACCCCCCGGGGAGCGGCAGTGCTACTTACCAGGTTCATGGCCTGTGGAAGAGAAGGAGAATGGATTAGAAGAGACACAGAGGAGGGCCAGATGGGGTGGAGGGACATGTCATTTCATCATCCTCCTCTCAGTGCCCACCTGGCTCTCAGTTCCTGAGGAACGCAGGGAAGCTCAGAGGTAGCTGTGGACCCTCCCCCAACCCCACTGCCACCTAGAGGGAGTGCGTGCCAGCTGGGGGTGCCCTGGAAAGGGTAGGATGAGGGCAGAGGGGCTGGAGATCCAGATGGTGGACCAAGCTGGGGCCCCTTGGGTCTGTCCACGTGTACTGCACTATAGGCGTGGGGACTGGGGCGGGAGGCCCAGTCTGCTGGGCCTTTGTGGGCAGGGAGAAGATGCAGCCTACAGGGGCCTTGACCTGGGCCGGGGCCATGAACCCAAGGCTCTGAGATCCTCAGCCACAGAGCAGCCAGGATTGAGTGTCCAAGACAAGGAATGGCCATGCCCGCCAGTCCCCACCAGTGTCTCCTCCCTGCCCACCTGGAGTCCCCATGCAATTAGCAAGCAGCCGTCAGGAGGAAGGAGAAAAGGAAAATGGAGAAGAAGAGAGGTGGGCCCTAGTGGCCCCCAGGTGGTCTTCCTCCCCCTCGCTGTAGGGCTGGCTGTCCCCTTGGGCTCCTGCTTACTCTCCAGGGGCTCTGGCCCTGTGTAGCCTGAAGTAGCAAGTGGGCTTCTGCTGCTGCTTGTCTTTCTGAGACCCCCCTGCTGCCCCCCATAGCTCCTCAGCCCCTTCCCTGTCGCGGGCTGGGGTCAGAGAGCAGCATCAGGCCTGGGCAGGGGACCCCATACCTTCAGCTTGGACTGAATCTCCCGAGATTTCCGCCTGGCTAGAACCTGCAAGTGGCTAGAGACCTGTAGAGAGAGAGAGAGAGAGAGAGAGAGAGAGAGAGAGAAAGAGAAAAAGAACAGAAAGAACAGGAGAGGCAAGAACAGAGTTTCAGCCAGAAAAGAGGCACAGTGGGGCCAGAGAGCCAGCCAAGGCAGAGGCCTGAGCCGTGCAGAGAAAGTGGTAGAGGCGCCGTGAGTGAGAGGCCGAGGAAGGGCTGGAGGCCCCAGTCAGGCGCCCAACATACCTTGATGCCAACCTGGTACTCCCGCACCTTCTTCCGAGCTAGAACCTGTATGTGGCTGGACACCTAGGGGCCGCCCCGCGCCCAGCCAGAGAGGAAAACACAGACAGTGAGGAGGCATAGCACAGGGTAGCCACGGGCAAGGAGCATCCCAGCCCTCATCTCTGGGACCAAATGTAAGAGGGGCAACCGTGGGGCCCCTGTGGGCAGACACACCTTGGCCCTGCCAATTCTGCCCTCTTTTGGCCCTTGATCAAGGGCCTACCGTGGCTTTCAGGAGCACCATGTACAGTTGTACAGGTTGTTCACTGCATAAGCGCACCTGTCCCAGTGAGGGCTAAAATCCAGCCCAAGCTCTGCTGGCCAAGCTATGTGCCCTGGTGCACAACTGCATCTAAAGTGGAGGAAGAGAGACCCAGGAATCCAAAATGGCATCAGTCATACCACTGAAGGAAGAGAAGCTCCTGGATGTCAAAATAGGGGAGTTGCCAAGCTGGATACTGACGCAGGATTTCACCCCTAAAGGCATTGCTGGAGCATTTCAAAGAGGTTACTACCAGTATTACAATACTTATGTCAGCATGAAGAAAGGGAGCTTCGCTGGGCTTTCTACGGTGCTGGCAGCTTATATGCTTTTCAACTACTGCTGTTCTTACAAGGAGTTTGAACACGAGTGGCCATGCAAGTACCGCTGAAGAGGGCCCGGTGTGAAGGGCACACTGCATTCCTGACCTTTGCCCAGCAGCCCTGAATCCTTTCATATCCTAATTGAGAATTAACACCCAATAAAAGATGACTGGTAAAAAACAGAGGAAGAGCATCTTTGTATTCTTCCAAAAAGGGGTGACTTTTTCTCACTGGTATCCTCAGAGGAGACACTTTTTTTTCTAATTGGCATCACAGAGGCTAGCCGTGGCCATAATGCTCCTGCTGGCCACCAGATTATACATCAAGCCCAAAATCCTTTACAAAAGGTCTCCCCTGTACCAGTGCCTAAATCCTCCCGAGCACCCCACCAGCTTGCCAGCCTATGAAACCTGGCCTGGTCTGACTCCTGCTTTGTTCATGCAGCTTCTTCCCCCAGTACACATTCCTTCTCCTCGGACTAATACATGGCAGTGTACACTATCTCTGTGCACACAGTGTGTGCTTTTAACTGCATTTCTTCTCCAGCCCCTCCTCCCTGAAGCCTCCCTCTCCTAGCAGACCTGAGCTAGTCACGGTCTGGATGTGTGCGCCCTGGGCTTGTACAACAGACCTTGGCATTGTCAAGGATCTGGCCCTCAGCCTCAGAGAACCTAAGTGTCACTGTTTTCCCCATGAAACAAGCGCGAGGGAACAGGTGGATCCTCTAAGCTGCTTCACACTTTCATTATCAGCAATTGCTGTTGGCTTTCTTTGCAAGTTTTTTTTTTTTTTAAAATATTTTATTTTATTTATTTATTTTTGCGGTATGCGGGCCTCTCACTGTTGTGGCCTCTCCCGTTGCGGAGCACAGGCTCCGGATGCGCAGGCTCAGCGGCCATGGCTCACGGGCCCAGCCGCTCCGCGGAATGTGGGATCTTCCCAGACCGGGGCACGAACCCGTGTCCCCTGCATCGGCAGGCGGACTCCCAACCACTGCGCCACAAGGGAAGCCCTGCAAGTTGTTTTTTATCTCCATAAAGAAACAGTTTCTTTTCTTTTTAATCATGGACTAAAAGTTACTATGTACACGATGCTAGGCAGCCCCCTGCTACTTGGTTAGAACCTAGGCGGGTGCTTCTCATGCCATCTCATGGTGCCTAGGATTCAGACCTATGTCTGGCAAGATTCCCGATCACTTCACATCATGACAATAACTGACGTTTACCGAGCACAGCTACTATTGTTCCCAGCACTTTACACGTACCAACTCCTCTGACCTTTACGGCAATGCTAAGAAGTCGGTGCTAATATTATTCCCAGTTTACAGATGATGAAACCAAAGCACAGAGAGGTTAAGCAACTTATCCAAGGTCACACAGATGAACCCAGGTGGCCTGACTCCACAGCCCACTTGGCCACCACCAATATACCCTTAGCCCAGAGGACTATCTCCAAATGGTCAACTCTGTGACAGCTGAAAGTCACATGGGACTTAATCCTAATGCAATATTTAGCTGCGTTTTCAATAGGGAGGCACTGTACTTGCTATTAATTGCTGTACGTAGCTGTAAAAAAAATGAAAATGGCATTTTTTTTCAACAGAGAGTAAAATGAAAACAACCAAAAAACCTTGCATGTCAGTGGGTTGCTCTTTGCGACACATAAAGACATGCCTTGTTCTCACAACCATAGGAAGGAACCCCCTTTAAGGAGATATTAGACATCAGAGTTCTAATACAGAATAAAGTTAGAGGAGTGCCACCCTTACAAAATGACAAAGGCCAGAGGTTTTTAAAATCCTGAGCTTGCCGACAGCTCATTTGTAAAATGTTAATGTACAGCCAGCCTTCTCGGGATACCTGGCCAGGAGCAGGTATGATGCTGGACCCAGAATTAAGAGGCTCTGCTACCCTCCCTGGGCCTCGCTTAAAGATCCCTGGGCCCCTTCCAACTCTGACAAACAGGTTCCTATGAACATGTCTTTTGGGTGAAGCAGGACACGCTGGGACAGTGCCCTCCTCCTGTGCCTGGGATGGCTTTCTGTTTATAACTACAGTAATAATAATAGCAACAGCAGCGGCACATTCTTATACAAATACACTCTGTTCTACATATCAGCTACTGAATGGTTGAGGAACAGAGGCTGGAGATGAGGCACCCCCTCCCCGCAGGTATAGGAGCAAGGTACTTGAACCCGGGGGCTGATCAACCAGTATTCCTCCTGTGGCCCCAGGCTCCAGGGAACTGGGCCCTTGTCTGTCCAGTTCCTCGCCGTATCCCTAGTACCGAGAACATAGTAGTAGCTCAATGGTTTTGCTAAGTGAATAAATGCTGTACAACATGAGCTGGCCCAGGGAGAGTGGTTAATAAAGGCCTGAACAATGAGGGAGCATTTCTACTCCCGCACTGGGTGGGTGGACCCAGAACCTTCCTTTGAGACAGTGAGGATCTCAGGGGTGGGTGCAAGGCTCAAACCTCAACCAAAGAGGGAGGTTTGGGGGGCTGAGGGCCAGAGCTGGCCTCGGTTCTCCAGGTCCCTGCCTAGAGCCTGCCTCTCTCCCGCCACCCAATCAACTCCCAAATCACCAGTTTCTTCCGTCCCTACCACCACTACCCTCACCACTGCCGCTGCCCAGGCCACCGCTGCTGACCTAGGTCCCTGCCTTGGCCTGGTCCTCTCTATCCACTGCCTCGGGTGTTCCGGAGACAAGCTGCCTTGACAGCTGCCACGCGCCACTCCCTGATCTATTCCCTTCCATGGCCCCCAGTTGCCCCCAGGGAAACCTGTCCCTCTGGCCTCCAGCTCAATCTTCCACAGCCCTCGGCTTTTCCCACCCCGCCTCCACACTCCACACTGCTAACAGAAGGCTCTTTCCTGCCCAGTGGGTTGAATCCTGGATCCACCACCTACCCGCAGAGTGACCTTAGGAAGTTACTTAACTTCCCTGTGCCTCGGTTTCCTCACCTGTAAAATGGAGATAATTACTGTACCTACTTCATAAGGTTGCTATGAGGACTAAATAAATTAATACAAAGTCAGGTCTGAATGGGCTTACAATTACTATTTGTATAGCCAACATCGTCAGCCTGGAAGAATCCTCTCCCTTTTTCCTGCCTGGCTAAATCTTCTTCCTTCTTAAAAATACATCTTGAGTGTCATCTCCTCCAGGAAGCCTTCCTAGCCCTCCCTTCCCCTCCCTGGTCTGGGTTCAATGCTTGTCTGACAGTACATGCTCCGATCTCAGCCATGCTGCCCTGCTCTGCCCTCACCTGTCCAACTGCCTGTCTCCCTGACTGGTCAGCGAGCCACTCAGGGCAGTGACATGCAGCTGCCACAGTTGCCCACTGGGGCGTATTTGTGGTCGCTGGATCACAGGTCTGGGACGGGGTTCAGAAAGGACAGTGGGGACTTCCTTGGCGGTGCAGTGGTGAAGACTGCTCGCTCCCAATGCAGGTGGCATGGGTTCGAGCCCCGGTCAGGGAGCTAGGGGAGTGGGCTGGGCAAGGGGGCAGCTCTGAGGAGTCAGGCAGGGCAATGGGATAGCTCGGCCTGGGAGGGACTGACAGAGGCAGGGGAGAGAGTGTGTGCGGGCAGAGGGGCCACAGCGTAAATTATCTTTTACCTGTTTTCTTGTCCGAGTCTTTCCCGTCCTCAATTTAATATACCGTGCGATCAACTCATTTCGGCCTAGATTGGGGTGAGAGGAAAAAATGGGGAGTGGTCAAAGGGGACGGCTGGTGGCTGAAGACCCCCCACCAGCTGGAAATACACCAGGCCCCTCCCACACACGCTGCTCTTGTTTTCTCTCCCCACTCTCTTCACTTCACCCCACCTAAGGGGCACAAGCAGGGTGGGTGAAGGATGGTGGGGAAGTCCCAGAGCTCCCCCCACTGCCTCCTGGACCTGGGGGGCTGCTGTTGGGGGAGGGCAGCAGAGCAGGAGGTGGAACAATGTCAGGCGGCCTGACAGGTTTCCCTGTGAGACAGACAGGGGCAGGTGTGGCCGAAGGGCTGCAGGACAGCTGGGCCCCTCACTCCCAGCCCCCCGCAGTGCTTCCTTCCTCTCTGTGCTGTCACCAGCTCCAAACCTCCGAGGGTAAGGGCTCGTGTGTGTGCGTGTGTGCGTGCGTGCGTGCGTGCGTGCGTGTGTGTGTGTGTGTGTGTGTGTGTGTGAGGAGAGGGAGAGAGAGGGAGAGGGAGAGGGAGAGAGAGAGAGAGAGAGAGAGAGAGAGAGAGAGAGAGAGAGAGAGAGAGAGATGTCTGGGCACGCATACCTGTGTGTGTCTGTAAGAACTCTGGCCTGGGTTCCTGTCCTAGCTGTCCTTGCCACCGGGAGACCCTGGACAAGTCCCTGCCCTTCTCTGATGAAACGGGCAGGAAGGACCAGATGGTCTCCAACACGTCTCCTACACTGACAGCCTGGGTCAAGATGTGTCACTGAGCATGTCACTGTGTCCTTGAACCTGTCACCCCCATGTCACTGGTTACCAGTGTCTGTCCCTCCCTGTGAGAGAGTGCAGCCCGTCAGACTTGGGGTGGGGGCTCGCTCAGCACCAGGGACCCTCTGGGGGCCCAGAGGCTGGCCGGCATTCAGGGGGCTTGGCCCTGTAAAGGGGGTGCTTGGGACGCATGGTGAAGCATGTGTCAGCATCCTCAGCGTGTAGGCTTCTTACCCCCAAATTCAGGCCCCCTGCCCCCCAACCCCATAGCCTCCCCAGAAGGACCGCATTCTCCAGATTCCTCTTCCATGACGGAACTGGCCCCACGGCTCCTCCCTCCCTGCCTGCCCCTCTCCACCCCACTCCCTCCGCCCTGTCTAAAAATACCCTGTGGGGCTGCCCCAGCCCTCTGGGAGGGAGCAGTGGGGGCAGGCAGCCCGCGCCCTATGGAAGGCGCCCTGGAACATCTGCCTGCCCCGTGAGTGGGGCTCAGGGGCTGGGGGTGGGTGTGGCACAGTGGTGGGGCAGGGGACACGGGGCAGCCCAGCCGGTGCTGGACACTGGGAGGGGACAGGCTGAGGGCCTGTCTCACGCAGCCATAGGCTGTCAGGGCGGGTTGGAGGGAGCTGGCAAGGAGTCAGGCCCCAAAGGGTTGAGTTATCCCAAAAATGCAGCCCTGGGAGAGCCCTCTCAGGGCTGGACCAGGGTGGATGCTCCTTTCTGGAGGCAGGAGGTGGGCAAGGTGGCAAAGAGAGGGGCCAGGAGAGCAGCAGACTTGGGAGGGGGTGTGAGGAGTGAGGGAGTCCCCTTGTCTCTCCAGCGCCCTTCCCCACGCAAGCCCTGTCACACTGTGGGCCTCCCACCACTCTGCAGCCCCCTCTCCACGCCCCCCCGTTCTCTGGAGGGAACTCGCCAGTGGGAAACACTGTTCTCTGCTGGGATCCCACCCCAGGTCTCACCCCTCAGGCTCCCCCACGTCCTCCCAGGAGAGGGACCCTCTCCTGGGCCCAGCCTGGAACACACTGGATTGACCCAGTTTCCTGGGCCCACTGAGTCACCCCAAAACCTCCAGGCTGGCCGAGGCGAGGAGAGGAGGGGCAGTCGGGGGTGGGGTCGGGGGCGGGGGTGGTGTGGCATGTGGGCTGAGCTCAGGTGGAGGGGGCAAACCTGGCCTGTTTATGAGGATGATCCAGACACACAGGCTTGCACGCCCAGACCCGCCCGCCCTCAGAGGGCTGGCGGCCTCCGGGACTTTGCCAAACCGGTTGGGTGAGGGGGCAGAGAGCAGAGGGAGGGGTGAGGAGGGCTGGACCGCCTCCCCAAGTCCAGCCCAGGGTCCCTGTGCCTCCCCACACGCACCGTACATCTTGCCCTCGTCCGACAGGATGATCTTGCGACGGCCGCAGGGTGGGTAGATGGCCAGGGCCTCCTGGAAGCTCTGCTCGATGTCCGGGCTCCACACGCCCTCCGCATCGTTGTCCAGCCCCTTGTCCAGGCCCTCGGGCCCATCCTCCCGGGCCTCCCCGGGGCTGCTGCTGGCATTCCAGCTGTTGGACGCTATTGTGCTGGTTGCTCTGGGCTCTGGGCTCTGGGCCTGAGCCCACTGGGCAGCCTGAGCCTGGGGGGCAGACGCAGAGGGGTTAGGGCAGGGTCCTCCCAGACCACAGCAATCTCCACCCCCAGGGCAGGTGCTCCAGGGTGGGGTGGAGGCAACCAGAGGTTATGTTTAGTCAGTGCTGTGTGACCTTGGATGAGTTACTTCACCTCTCTGAGCCTCAGTCCTGTAAAACGAAGGAAAGGTCTCCTTTGAGGTTGTGAGGGTTAAAATGAAATGAGATCAGACAAAGTGCCAACCATGATGCCTGGTGGTGATCAACAGCAACAGTAACAATGCCTTATACCTACACAGTACTTTTGTGGGGAAAAAGTACTTTCATATTTATTCAATCCTCAAAACTAAGGTGGGGAGGGCAAGGAGTGATGCCCATTATTCAGATGAGGCAAACAGGCTCACAAGGCCATGCAGCTGCCAAAGGCACTATGATGGGCAGAGAGGAGGACCACGAGGGGCAGGGCCCAGTGCTTCTGCGGCTCTCAGAGGGGCTCCTTGGCTCTCGCTCTGCCAGCTCCTCCTCCTTGTCATCAGGATCCCCAGCCAGGGACTCCCACCCCTCATTCTCCCCCCAGCATCAGTGCAATCCTGCCAAGGACCTGCTGTGGCCTGAGGAGGGTCCCAGACCCAGGAAGGGTACAGTTTTGCCTTCCCCAAAAGATAACTCATGAGAACCCTGCCAAGGAACCTAAACTCAGGGCAGGAACTGCCCCAGGAATCATGAGACGGGAGCGACACTGGCTGGTAAGGGAGCAGCTGAGAAGGTGCCTGGCCGACAGCCTTGCTCAACCCCACCCACTCCTCCATCCCACTTCCTGTTCCTGCACCTCCTGGCCCCACAGCAGCCCATAAACCACCCACACGCTGGCCCCTGCCCTGGCCCACATCTTGGATGGGCCAGGGCTCTGTAAACTCCGAGTTCCCTGCACACACCAGGCTGGGTTATTAAAGCAGATCACACCCAGACAGTCCCCCAACACACACGGCCCTAAGGCTCACCCCACAGTCCCCTTCAGCCTCAGAACCACATGTCCAATGTGTATCAGGGTCCTGGGAGCCCCAGAGCCCCAGATGGCTAGACCCTAGGACTTTGCTCTGGGCTGTACTGCCCCAGGAATCATGAGACGGGAGCGACACTGGCTGGTAAGGGAGCAGCTGAGAAGGTGCCTGGCCGACAGCCTTGCTCAACCCCACCCACTCCTCCATCCCACTTCCTGTTCCTGCACCTCCTGGCCCCACAGCAGCCCATAAACCACCCACACGCTGGCCCCTGCCCTGGCCCACATCTTGGATGGGCCAGGGCTCTGTAAACTCCGAGTTCCCTGCACACACCAGGCTGGGTTATTAAAGCAGATCACACCCAGACAGTCCCCCAACACACACGGCCCTAAGGCTCACCCCACAGTCCCCTTCAGCCTCAGAACCACATGTCCAATGTGTATCAGGGTCCTGGGAGCCCCAGAGCCCCAGATGGCTAGACCCTAGGACTTTGCTCTGGTCTGCAGGGAAAGGGGGGCGCAGGGTGGAGAGTGGGAGACCCCATCAGAAGCTGGGGAAGCGACTTCTTGCCCCTCAAACAAGAATTCCAGGTCTTGCCAAGTGGGTGGGGATTTTCCCTGAGGGGGCCACCTCTTTGCTTTGGAAGGCTTGAAGGTAGTTTCTAGTGGCATGGGATGGGGAGGGCCTGGGGGCCTGAATGTCAGATGGATATAGAGTTTACATTTAACTTTACTACGAATGACAGCACCTGCATATGGCAGGCCCTAGTCTGGGACTTTATACACATTGACTCATTTAATCCTCACAATCACCTATGAGGTAGATACTATTATTGCTTCTACTTTACAGATGAGGAAACCAAAGAACAGAGGGGTTAAGCAATTTGCCCAAGGACACACAGCTAGTAAGTGCTAGAGCTGGGTTCTGAACACAGGCAATCTAGCTTCAGTCTCTTAACCAAGGTAAGAAGCCCCACCATCTGCAGAGGGCAAGGAGGCCCAGCATGGGTTATCATGGCAACCACCTGAGAATGCCCAGTGGGGTCCAGACCACAGGGTCCCCCCCAGCACAGGTAGCTGGAGCAACTTCAAGGACCCCCAGACCGCTGTAACCCTTCCTGTGAGGCCTCCAAGACCACCACACCAGAGGGCAGCCAGGGAGAGAGGAAGCCATGCTCCTGACGGGTCAGAGGGGCCACACCCCTCTGCTCACCCCCGCAAGCTGTATTCTCATCCCCATCCCCTCCTCAACCCCTTGAGGGCAAGTTCTTATAATGAGTGGGGGGGAGGGGTGGGATGCCGGGGGACACAGCGGCGCCTATACTGAGCTAGCTGAGAGGCAAGCCACCGCCCCACCCCGGTGCCCCAAGTCTGACAGTGCCACAGGCGGCGTTAGAGGGGAGGCAGAAGAGGGACTACAATGAGCTAAGACCCCTCCCAACAGAGTCCTCAACCCATTTCCCCCCAAATCTTTTCCTGAGGCCTCCCTCACAGCAGCAGGGGCCCAGCGCATGGGGGGCCCTGGCAGCCCCAGACTTTTCAAAGCAACTTTCTTGCCTCCCCCAAGTCTGTGCCCGCCTCCCCTCATCCAGGGAGTGGCCCCCCCTTCTCGGGGTGATGTCAGCCCCGCCCCGCCCCCCGCAGGAGCACTGTGGCCAAATATGGCGAACACAGCAGTGCTTGGGAGCTGGGACAGACTGGGGGGGCGGGGCGGCGGCCCCTGGCTGGGACTGCTGGCAGCTGGTGAGGGGGAGGGGAGCCCAGGGGGCGGCCACAAGGACAAGTCAAGGAGAGAAGCAGGACCACCGTCCTTTCCGCTGGCTCACAGGCACATGCTAGACTCACTTTCCAGGAACACCCCTGTGGGGAGAGGCACCCACACAGGGGCCCGCAGGTGACCCCCACCCCACACAGCCATGCACTGGAGCATGATGTGCAGTACACTGCATGGGTGCGCGAGCGGACACCCCAGTAAGAATATTTGTACCCCCAGACCGAGGCACACCCGTGGGCAATGGCAGGCGGGCAGCTGAGCCCCGCTGGGGGCTGAACTGGGGTCTCTGTCCTACCGCATCACTCAGGAGCAGGTCAGTGCGAGGAGTCTGCAATGGCTGCTCTGGCCTTCCCAGAGATACTGCTGTGGGATGAGGACAGAGGTGAGAGTGGGCCACCCTCCTCTCCTTAGACCCCAAACCACTGGGACTCAGGCTGGGGGCATGGAGGAGGCTATGGGTTCCTTAGCCAGCTGCAGGGCTGGACTGAGGCCAATGCGGGACTCAGGCATGGTGGAGGGGGCTGCCTGGGGTCAGAGGGCAGGCCCCAGGGGAAGGCAGCCCCAGCCCAGCATTGGGTCTTATCTGCCCTTTACAGGGTGGGGTTGACAGGGGTGGCAGCCCCCCAGCAGCTCGTTGACACTGTCCCAGGTGTCTAGAGTTTCTGCATTGCTGGGCTGCACCACCAGGAGGGGTGGGAGAAGAGGCAGAAAGACCCAAGTGAGGGGCAGAGAGGGTGGAGCTTGGGATAGACGGGAGGGGAAGGGGGACACGGTGTGGGCAAGTCTGGGGATGGGTGAAGAGAGCAGGAGACAGACAGACAAGAAAACAGACAAAAGAGACGGGACAGTCACAGAGTGAGAGACAAAATAAAGAGACCTAGAGAGGGAGAGACAGAGATCCAGAGAGAGACAGACAGACGGAACAGGTAGAGTGCTGGAGAGAGTGAGGTCCACAGACACTGGGGGGAGTGGGGAGAGAGCGAGGGAGAGAGTCACTATGACCAACAGAGACAGAAAGACAGAGACCAAGATGGAGGAGATGGAGACACACAGATGAAGGGGGTAAATCACTAAACTCAGACACAGTCAGGCAGTGAGGGAGGGGGAAACCAGATGGTGGTGAGAGAGAAAAAGCAAGAGAGAGAGAGAGAGAGAGAGAGAGAGCAAGCGCGAGCCAAGGACAGAAAGACTCAGAGGCTGGGGCAGACCTCGGGGGAAGGAGTGACCAGGGGAGCCACTGCTGGGGGCTGGGGGCTGGGGTCAGCCACAACAGGGCCACATGCAGGACATCCCCACTCCTGGCCCATCTGCTCCCCAGCCCTCCTCTCGGACCACCTCCCATCTCCCTGGTATTGCACAGCCCAAGGACCTCCTGTGTTCTCACTCTAACTTTACCCTCAATCTGACCAGCACACACCCGCTTCCCCTCTCCCAGGGCCTTCTGAGGTCAGAAGGTGCCTCTGGGTGGTGGCCGGGTAGGAGATAGGAGGCTGGGTGAGCAGGCCTCAGGGCCCTGAGGGAGATAAGAGGCACCTTGCTGCCCACTCCCCACCCTGGGGCCAGACCTGCTGGAATAACTGGCTGGACAGCCCCAGGGGTGGAGGCCAGCGCAGGGGCTGCTGCAGAGGCCCTAGGTCCTCACCCAACAAGGCCCCCGCAGCCTCCAGACCACCCAGCCCTCTACCGCCTTTCAAGTAGGGGGAGGGATGGGCTTGAAACCTGGGCTCCCCCAGAGCTTCTGCCTGGTGGGGGATGCAGAAAAGGCAAGTCCAGGCAGGTGTCGGCACCCGGCACCCCTCCCCCCGCACCAGCCCCGCGGGGAGGTCGGACTGAGCCCGGTGACTGTGCTGCGTCTAGCGGGCAGCAGCTGTCCACTCTTGCAGGACTTCAGCCCTCAAAGTGCTCTCACTTTGAGTGAGAACATCACTCAAAGTGTGGGAAGATTAGTGAAATCAGCAGTTTCATCCTGAATGCCCTGCCCCCAAACCTGGGCTGGGCTGGCCAGCCAGGGGGGCGCGGATGGGGCAGGCGGTAGATGAGGGCTAAGGGAGCCTCCCCGCCTCCTCTGCTTTTCCCTCCTTCCTCCCCACCCACCCCCACAGCGGGCCAGCTGTTCTCCAGCTGCCAGAGGCTCCCACACTAGAACTGGCCGTGCTCTGGTTGGGATGGGAGAGCAGGGCAGGCGGGATGGGGATGGTGTCTGCCTCCCCCACCTGCAGGCCAAGGACCCCT